GGTTCTGGTTCCGCTGAAGCGAGGCAGACTGGAAAGCGTGACTGATGCTGCCAATTGCCTCGTGACTCGGACTCGGACTTGTGGCCTCCTCGAGACAGCCGCCCACTCGAAAAGCAGCACATTTTGACCAAATTAAGAATGGCCGGGTCTCGGGCAGTCTTTGGAGGTAGCGCATGTTGTGGTGACTTGCATTTGGCGGGAAAATGTGTATCCGATGCTTTGCCATCAAACCGCGTTGTTTTGCAGACGTTTGGCTTTACTTTCAGCTTCCTCTTCAAATCGCGCTCGCTTCGGATGCAAACAGACGAAACTTTCTTTTTTCCTTTAAATTGTCGCTGATGAAGGACTGGCAGTTGCATTTTCCCACAATCCGTTTTTTTTAAATATTTCTCACAGCCTTGCTTACAAAATGAAGCCAACTTATATTTATTATAGCAAGCGATTACACTACTTATTTTCGTTTATAAGTAGGGTAACGAGACTACCGATAAAGCACATATTTGGGATATGTTCAAGTTATTTCGCTTAACGTCATGAAGAAATGATAGCGACCACATCTCATATATCTAATTTATTGGTAGTCTTGCGACCCTACTTAGAAACGAAAAAATAAGTAGTATAGTCGATTGATATGGCTTTCCTTGAAATTCACATCTTCCTTGTGGCAGTCTGTGGTGGAATGGTTATCGTGTCGAGATAATGCGCTAACTTTCATGCTTCGAGTCGAAACTGTCATTCATTCTAGTCGGGATGAGATAATCTTTTGGGCAGCAAAGCTGTGTGAAATATGACATGAAAACGTAAAGTATACTTATCAGATTGTGGGAAAATTCAACTGTTAGTTTTTCATTTGCTGAAAGGAAATAAGGTGAATACATCTTTTATTTGTGAACAAGTTCTTTTTAAAAGTGGGCTGACCACGTTGTCGCAACTTGGTCTTGTTGTCAGGGCGACTATGTAGATCGCAATTAGTCCGAAGTCGTCTGCCAGAGTTGTTGTCATGATTCCCATCATCAGTCCGATTTGCCATTCTCCGCACCAACCTACGAACTCGTCAAAAGAGACAAGTTACTATTACTATGTACTAAAATACTGTAATCGAATAGCATATTCTAATGTAGATTTCAACTTTTAGAAAGTCTTTTCAATATTGGCTAGTTGTTCTCAGAAGAAAATTGTACAAAACATGCAAAAAAGAATTAGATGCCATATGAACCAAACGCAAAGATTGTAACTGACACTATCTTTTGTGGATGAAGAAAGGACGAGAAATGTATGTTCGTCAGGCGAAAGCGACCAGTTATCGCAAGCGGGAAAAGCTGCTTTAAGAAAGCCGTGCGATAAAACCATGAAAGAGGAGTGATGATAATGTACCTGTTTTCGGAAGAACATTTTGTGGAAGGAGCTCGGTGCGGAGAATGGCAAAACGGACTGATGACGTCTGAGAATGTACCAAGTCGACCGTCTGATGCTGGGAGTTATGACAACTAATCTGGCAGACGACTTCGTACTCGGTCCGTTCTACTAAGTGGCCTTGACAACAAGACCAAGTTGGGACAACAAGGTCAACCCACTTGTATAAATCGAAAGGAGACTGTGACCATACCAGAGGCCACAACACTTTTTCAATCCAACTCGACAGATATTCTGTATGTGTTTGGATGGAAACGAGCTGGGCTTTCGTCCGTCGTATTAACCGACGCAGATTATCCTCGTCAAAGCACGAAACCCTTCTTTCGCGAACCGACATGCTTTACATTCGCATCAGGACCCAGCTTCTGCTCGCATCCACAGCGCCGGTATGGTTTAGCTTGTTGCCATTTGTCTCATGGCAGGTCAGCAGAAGTAGACTCTTAAAATATCCATTTCTTAAAATGTTGTCCTCTG